GTTACAGCACTGTAGCAAAATTGCCAATTTGAATTAAATCAACCCTAATCACCTCCCAACGGCTAATTAACATCTTCCACTATAAATACAAGCCTAATCCTTCATATTTCTTCAAGAAACAAAGCTCTAAACATCCTCCCTTTATATTCTAAGTGTGTTCATTCTTTTATTAATTATTTTCAATATTTTGGCTATTTCAAGAGCCTTAAATTCCTGATTTTTACACACACACTTTGAGCTTGTGTTTCTAGTTATATACTCTCACATTCATAAGTTTGTATTGTATTTTTGAGAGAGTATAATTTCCTTCTACACCGGCTAAGTTTTGTTCTTCATTTTTATATTCTAGCCGTTGTGTAGAATCCTCTTTTGTGTTCTTCAAACACACCTTCTTACGGTCAAGAATAGCCGTTAAATTCTCACGTTGTAACGGTCAAGGATAGCCGTATAAATCGTTGGGTAAAGGTTCAAGGATAGCCTTTGAAATCCTTGGAGGAACGGTAGAAGATAGCCGTTAAATCTTCGTTGTAAACGGTTCGAGATAGCCGTGGTGAAATCTCGGAGTGAATCCTATTGGCAAGGGTTGTTTGCCAAACTAGTGCGGTGCTTTGACGGAGTTCAAGAGACCGGGACATAGTGGATTCGGAAATCCTTGAGGAGGAGCCTCGAGGTACTGGAGTAGGGAGTTCCCGAACCAGTATAAAATCGGTGTGCATTTTATTTACGCTTTTATTTCTGCATTTTATATATTGCTTCCGCATTTGCCAACACCGTTTTTATTAAACTCCGAAAAGATTTTAAAACGCCTTATTCACCCCCCCTCTAAGGCGTGGGCACAACGACTAAACCGAATAACAGTGTGTTCCAACAATTTTCTTAACACTTTATTTTTTCAATTCTTTATAGTTTCTTCCAACATTCAACTTTAGAATTCAACCGAAGAGAACATGCTTTAACTGTGAGAGACGTGATTGATATTTGAGTTGTAAGAGAAATAAGTAATTTAATTTTTTTATAAAAACTAAAAAAGTTATTTATTTTCAAAAAATACAATAAATAGAAGTAAAACATAGAGAAAGAATCAAAATGGTCAAGTCATCACTTTAAAAGTTAATTTAGATATTACACATTACAATTGTGTAATTGAGGCAGCGGGTGGAGGGTTTTTGAAAAATGAGAAAAATTATGGGAGTAATACTGTAATTAATTGATTTTCAGAGTAAACTGCTCCCCTGTTTTGAATGATAAGAAGACCACTCCTAAAGATTAATAGGAAAGTTCACTCCGGTTCAAGCCCCAGCAGAGATGAAAGCGTCATTAGATTGAGAAATGTATAAACAAATAGTACATTATAATATAGTCAATAATTTTTAGAATAAAAGATTTTTGGAGTTACTTGTAAAGTTAAATATTTGTAAGAATATTTTTGTAAATTTTTCCTAAAATATAAATTCTCTGTCCGCCATAGATCTTCCCTGATACTATTCAACCCCAGGGTCAAACTTAATCATTTTATTTGCTTTTTTACTACTAATTTTATAAAATAATTTACTCTTGTCACATCTAGTTTTGTAAAAAAAAATTATGTATATTTTTACTATATTTTTCCATCATCTCCGATGGAGCCAAAATCTCACCTGTTTTTGGCTTTGGGGTGTGATGGAATAAATCAAAATGGATATCTAAACTATTTGCGCTTCTTTAATTAATGAAGTAGCAGTTAGTCAAGCAATGCAGCTTTCGACGTTGAGCCGGGGGTCTCTTTGGAAACAGCCTCTCTACTTTCGAGTAGGGGCAAGGTCAGCGTACACACACCCTCCCCAGACCCTACTCTTGTGGGATTTAACTGGGTTGTTGTTGTTGTATATTTTTACTATATACATTTTATTTCTAGATTTTATTTTTATAATTAAATAAATTGAATTAAAAAATAAATTTATCAAGTTTCGCAACACAAAATGAGAAAATGTTTTATAGACGGAAAAAATATTTTTTAAAGGATAAAATGCAGGACCATGCTACACTTACACCAAAAAATGTACCTCATTTGTACACCAGAGTTATGCACAAACATTTTCATGATTTACACTGACACAAGTGTTGATGTGTTAACAAAAATTTACACGGACACAAAATATTGATGCGTTAACAAAAATTAGATTTACATCAACATAAAATGTTGGTGCAAACCTGCGGGGTATAAATTGGGGTATAATGGTTGGGTACACATTATACATACCTTAATCCTAAAATGCAATAACAAACGAAGTCAGGAAAGGTGTTTCTTCATAGAGTCCACCCTAGCAGTTTGACTAGCCGTCGGAACTTAATTATGGGGTTGATAACTAGACAGGGTAAAAGTCTACAAGAGGGCAGAATTCAACGATTCACATTTCCGAGCAACCAAACCTTGACAGCTCACCATTTCGTTTTTAACCTTGTGTTTCTTATCTCCATCCCTCCTCTAAGAAAGCCCTAATTCACCTCGCCACCCAAAAAGGGATAAAGTTAAAGAGATCCAAAACCCATCATTTCAAGCCAACCCTCAAAATTAGCAAGTGCAATAACTTTTACCCCAATAATTTACACAAAACTTGTTAATACCATCAATTAATAAACTTCAACAGCTCGGGCCACAGATATGCTCGTCACTCCAGTGTTCATAGACAATCCTAGCGGCGGCGGAATCCATTCTGCCGCCGCTGGGGAGGTTGCTGAGCTGCAGAACGGAGGAGAGAGCGACCGGAACGCAGGTGGTAACAGATGGCCGCATGACCAGACGCTAGCTTTGCTCCAGATTCGGTCGGAAATGGATTTCGCGTTTCGTGATTCTACTCCCAAAGCCCCTCTATGGGAACAAGTTTCAAGGTAGGATTTAATTTCCTCGATCTTCCATCTGCAATACCCTCTGAGTTCTCCTTCAATTTCTAGTTGCTTCTTTTCTTCTCTTTTTTTCGAAAAGATACAAACTTCTCCTAAATAAGTAGATGTAGGTAATAATCAGATTATTACGACTAGTTTTTTCTGTGCTTCGTTCATGATCTGATTTTTTTCTTTAGGATTCAATTATGTCATTAGGTGTCTCTAAATTTATTTTTTATATTGGACTAATAGTCCTTGATTTACCTTTTAAAACGTTTGGGTTTTCCATTAAAATATCATTTCGTTTAATGCATTACAAACCGAGTAATTTAAATTATGTACGGTCATAATTTAAAACGTTTGGTACGGAGTAATTGTTTACAAACAGAGGAATTTGGTCACAAATTTCATAAATTTACTATTTATGGTTTAAGTTTTTATTTTAAAATTATTTTAGACTATTTAATTTTTCTTATTGTAATTCAAAAATAGTAAATTTATGAATTTTTTGACCATTTTGTTTGTGAATCTAGCATTTCTAATAATTTAATTTGCTATGCACGCATATCGCCAAGAGATGCATAAAAACATTTAAATGAATGAATAATACACCCAATCGTATGTAGATGAGTATATGAAATTGGAACGTGAAAACCTCTTTGGATAAGGCTCTCTTTTGAATGGGTGGTAGACGAGACCTTAGCGCTTAGATAATACCGCACTAAGAGTATCCCGTCCTTCAAATTAAAATCATTCATCCAAACTGATTTGGTGAAATACTTAATTTTGTTGACTTTATTGACTTTGTGGTCAAATATTTGACCAAAGTAAAAAGTGGTACAATTGTGGGGTGCGAGTGTGCACGGGCCGGGTTGGAAGGTTTGTTGGAGGGGTTAATGGATAAAAATAATCAATTTCACGAATGAAGCACCATAAATACTCAGAGTATACAAACATTTGTTTTAACTTTTTTGTTGTAAGATTAATTAATTAATTGCGCTACACACAAACGCACACCCACACACACACACTATATATATATATATATATATATATATATATATATATATATATATATATATATT